GATGATCTCCTCGGTCAAGGTCAGCATTTCAACACCCTTACTGAGTTCAGCCTGGGCAACGTCCTGCTGATCCCTCCTAGGGGGACAAACGGTTTGCCAGAACACCTTTGAGTCCGTCTGGTAGTCATTCTCCATAGTCTCTCTAAACTCCTCCCAAGCCTGGGCTTTTGCTTCAATGACCGTCACAGCCCTCTTAGCCAGCCGGAACCTCTCAGTCATGTCAGGAATCCGGTTTGCAAGCATTGCTCAGAAGATGTCCTTCTTTGACTTGGCAGCTTCCCTCACCACTGGAGTCCACCAGTAGGTTCTAAGGTTGCCACCATAACAGGCACCAACCACCTTCAGGCCACAGCTTTTTATGGCTGCCTCAATGACCGAGGCCCTGAACAAGGTCCACTCAGACTCAATGTCCAAGACCTCACCCAGAATACAGAAGTAGTTCTTCTGGAGGTGGGAACTGAAGTCTTTCCACACAGGGTCCTCCAACAGATGTTGCCAGGCTCCTGACAATGATCATTTGGGCCTCCCGTGTCTATTCAGCAGACACCCCATGCATCAGATCCAACTCACCACCAAGTGGTGATTGGCTGCCAGCTCTGTCCCTCTCTTCACCTGAGTGGCCAGAACATATGGCCTTTGGTCCGACGAGACAACTATGAAGTCGATCATTGATCTTCGGACCAAGGTGCTCTGGTACCAAGTACATTTATGAGCAACCTTGTGTTCGAACATGGTATTCATTATGGACAATCCATAACTAGCACAGAAGTCCAACAACAACTCACCTCTCGGATCCAGACCAGGGAGGCAGTTCCACCCAGTCATTCCCCTCCAGGTATCTCCATAATTCTCCACATGAGCGTTAAATTCCCCCAGTAGAACCACAGGGTCGGTCAGGCTCTGTTGCGTGCCAGAAAGGCCAAGTACTCTCAACTGCTGTTAGGTGCATCAGCACAAACAGTCAGGTTTTTCCTCTCTGATACTCAAAGTCTCATCAAGGCATCCCTCTCGTCAACCGGGAGAAACTCCAACTGCACAGCACCTGAACGGGGACTTGTGAGTATCCCTACACCTGCCCAGGGACTCCCATGTGGGGCCACTCTTAAGTAGGAAAGAGACCACACTCGATCAACAAGTTTGTTTCCAGTGCTATGTGTGGAAGTGAGACCGACTATATCTAGTCAGTACCTTTCCACCAACTCTGGCTCCTTTCCTGCCAGCGAAGTGACATTCCACATCCCTAGAGCCAGTTTCCATTGCAGAGGGACACTTCCACTGCAGAGGGACATTGCACCTGACGCTCACCCTTCGCCTCGCAGGTGTTGAGCCAACGAGACAGGTCCACATTGCCTTTTTGGGCTAGGCCTGGCTGGGTTACAAGGGTAGCCCAACCACCAGATGCTCTACTGACACCACCCCCATGGGTGGGTCGCAGTATCTCTAGTCCAGGTGAGAGTCGCGTGGTCATTTTTGGGCTTTCGTGAGGGTCTTCAGGTGGATCATTTTTAGTCTGGAACCTCCCCCCAGACCTATTCACCTAGGGTCATCCTACCAGGAGCACTAGGCTCCAGACGACATAGCCCTGGAGCTCGTTGGAACACGCTCCCCCCCACACCACAACACTGTAATGATCCTCAGAGGGGAGAATCAACTTTAATTCTTTATTTCAGGACAGTTTGCCTCTACTCAGTCTTCCGAAGGACAAATCCAATACACCCTTTCAATACTACTTTTTATAGCTATACTGAAAGGGCTTGAAGTGTGAAGCACATCCTTCACTTTTAGCCATAGAAGTTCAGGATATACACTACAACATATTCTGCTTTTCATAGCCCACGTAATCTCTGCGACCCCACACTATCACACCAAGCTTGAACTTAAATCTCTCTCTCTCAGGTAGTTACGTGGCCACCTATGCCATATTACTTAAATGCCATGTGAGCTTTCACGTATTTATCCTCACAACACTCCTGTGAGGCAGTCAGTGCTACTCTCACCGATTTGCAGAAGGTGAACTGAGGCAGAGACTTAGGCCTGGTCTATACTAATGAGGTAAGTCGATCTAAGTTATGCTAGTTACGTTACTAAAATTACATAATTTAAGTTGATGTAGCTCTTACAGTGGTGTCTACACCATGCTTTGTCAAGGGGAGACACTGTCCCATTGACATAGCTTCCGCCTCTCAGGGAGGTGAAGTAGTGAAGTCGACAAGAGAGCACTCTCCCATCGACTTATCACGTCTTCACCACACCCACTAAATAGACGCACTGAATCGATCACAGCAGCACCAATTTAGCCAGTAGTGAAGATAAGCCCTCAGTCCTGGTCAGACAATTTTTATATCACTTTAACTATACTGAGATATGGACAGATCTAGTTTAAGACATAAAACCCCCCTCACCTGCATGCAGTTATACTGGTATTAAAGAAAGTTCCTTAAACTGGAGTTTTCACTTCTAAAAGTATATCTTATTCCCCTGAATCCCTACAAAAATAACCTACACTGATACGAGCACCTTTATAATGGCATAACTGTGTCCACACTAGGAGGACATACAGTTTTAGATTTGTTTCTAAATCAATATAGTATAGCTGTATAAAAACTGTGTAGACAACCCCTAGAGGGCTTACCCAATATCCCACAGGAAGTCTGTGGTGAAGCAGAGAATTGAACCTAGGTCCCAAGCCAGTGCCCAAACTGCTGAACCATTCTTCCTTCCTGTAGGAGACATCACTGCCTTGGAAAGAGTACAGAAAAACCATTCAAACCTCCAGTTTTACCAGTGATTAAGACAATGTCAATGCTACTAGGTGATCAGGTGGCAAAAAATAAGCAATTCATGTCTCTCTCAACCAAGGACCTGGGATTTTGAGCCTACTACTTGACAGCAGCTCAATACATATCCAAACCTGAGGCATCATGTCGTGACATACACTGTTTTGCTTGAAGGCTTGTGAAAACTGATGTCACTTAAAATTATTACTTTGGACCAACAAATCTGATTTATATTAAAATAAAGAAAATGTAAAATAATTTGCCTTGATTTAATTTAATTCCCTTTCCCCTGTGCACTGAATTACCGAAAATCTAAATTCATTTTGATCTGAGGGTTTGGGTAATAACTGAAGTCTAGCACTGCTTTACTGGCTGGACACGCTTTCCAGTGCTCAAATTCCCAGCTGTTTTTAATTTGTATTAGCAATGACAGATTTATTTCAGCTGATATTTGTAGTAGGATGTAAATGCCCAATACTACGCAAAAGGTCCCTTTGTATGAGATGATTGACTAACTTGACATCCCTCCAATATGGCTCTGCCTTGTCAGAGGAGTGGTGGCAGCAACTAGAGGAGTCAGTGTATTCAAAAATTACGTGACAACTTTAAAGGTAAGTTGCTTATATTTAATATGTAATAGGTGTATGAATGACTTTAGATTTTATCTATGGTGTAGATGGAGATGTGTGACAGGGACCCTGGAATGCAACCTGAACTGTGGGACCACTGAACCCTTCAAACCCACCAACCAGGGCTGCCACTCACCCTGGGAGATACTGCACTTACACAGTCATCCATAGGCAGGGACACACCCAACTGTGTTATATGAATGATCTCCCAACGAACTATCAATAGGGAGGCTCCAGTCGAATCCCCCCAGCTACCCAGACTTGCATCCCAGAACTGTACCGTCTTGCACTAGTCAGAAGCCTGGCCAGTGTAAGTTTTGAGTCAACAACGTGCCCTTGCTGCCAAGAAAGCCAACAGCATTTTGGGGTGTATAAGTAGGGGCATTGCCAGCAGATTGAGGGACATGATCGTTCGCCTCTTTTCGACATTGGTGAGGCCTCATCTGGAGTACTGTGTCCAGTTTTGGGTCCCACACTACAAGAAGGATGTCGAGAAACTGGAGAGAGTCCAGCAAAGGGCAACAAAAATGATTAGGGGACTGGAACACATGAGTTATGAGGAGAGGTAGAGGGAACTGGGATTGTGTAGTCTACGGAAGAGAAGAATGAGGGGGGATTTGATAGCTGCTTTCAACTACCTGAAAGGTGGATCCAAAGAGGATGGATCTAGACTATTCTCAGTGATAGCAGATGACAGGGCAAGGAGTAATGGTCTCAAGTTGCAGTGGGGGAGGTTTAGGTTGGATATTAGGAAAAACTTTTTCACTAAGAGGGTGGTGAAACACTGGAATGCGTTACCTAGGGAGGTGGTGGAATCCCCTTCCTTAGAAGTTTTTAAGGTCAGGCTTGACAAAGCCCTGGCTGGGATGATTTAGTTGGGGATTGGTCCTGCTCTGGGCAGGGGGTTGGACTAGATGGCCTCCAGAGGTCCCTTCCAATTCTGTTATTCTATGATTCTAAGTTCATTAAGTAGTTTGCCACTCTCTCAGTGTGGAATGAATTACATATTTGTAAACTGAGCTGAGATTTCCCAAGCACTTCAACCAAAACACTGTTTTATATAAAATATAAATCTTGTTTATTAACTACAGAAAGATAGATTTTCAGTGATTATAAGTAGCGAGCAGAGAAATCAGAGTTGGTTATTTAAGAAACAAATAAATTTGAAGTTTAAGTTCTACATGTGATGGGTTGGATCACAGAAACCCCCTTGGGGGCTGCCAACTGATGTGCCAAGGCTACGTCTGCCCCTGCCTTCCCTGCCAGCTTGGGACCCAGCTTGGGACTCCACAATCCTGCCAGGTTGTGCCAGATATGCTTGCTGGCCACAAACACATACCCAGGTCTGAACCATATCACACAAACTGCAAGCTTAACTGAAAGCAGCTTAAGAAGTGTTCCTGTCTTTAACACTCAGATGCCCAAATCCCAATGGGGTCCAAACCCCAAATAAATCCATTTTACCCTGTATAAAGCTTATACAGGGTAAACTTATCAATTGTTCGCCCTTTATAACACTGATAGAGAGATATGCATAGCTGCCCCCCCCCCCGCCGCCGGTATTAATGCATACTCTGGGTTACATAATAAGTAAAAAGTGATTTTATTAAATACAGAAAGTAGGATTTAAGTGGTTCCAAGTAGTAACCGACAGAGCAAAGTGAATTACCAAGCAAAATAAAATAGAACATGCAAGTCTATGCCTAATACAGTAAGAAAACTGAATACAGATAAAACCTGACCCTCAGAGGTGTTCCAGTAAGCTTCCTTTTACAGACTAGTCTCCTTCTAGTCTGGGTCCAGCAATCACTCTCACCCCCTGTGGTTACTGTACTTTGTTCCAGTTTCTTTCAGGTATCCTTCAGGGTGGTGTCTCTTGAGCCAGCTGAAGACAAAATGTAGGGGCTTTCTCTTGTGGGTGGATACTCCTCCCTCCCCCATGTAGAATTCCAGCTACAAGATGGAGTTTTGGAGTCACATGGGCATGTCAGATGTCCATGCATGACTCAAAACTTACAGGTAGCAGCCTGGTTCACATGCTACCTTGAACATTCTCAAGCAGACTTCTTATGTGGATTGGAGCCTTCCAAGATCCATTGTCCATTAAGTGTTTCTTGATTGGACACTTAATTTGCACATTCCTTTCTCAAGAAGCTGACCAAATGCTTTACTAAGGTTACTTAAAATCAAGCAAGTACACAGCCAATATTCATAACTTTGAGTACAAAAATGACACATGAATACAAATAGGATGAATATATTCAGTAGATCATAACCTTTACAGAGATATGGGGTACATGGCAGATGTAGCATAACACATATTCCAGTTATGTCATATATACATTCATAAGCATATTTCCATAAAGCCTTTATGGGGTGCAACGTCACACTACAAACTAAACAGGATTTGAATCAAGCAGTGTCTCACTCTGACATATGGTACAAGCAGGTTACAGATCCTCAATATACAGACTGGACTCCCTTTTCCAGCCTGGCACCATGCTTCCCCAGTTCAAGGTCTTTTGCCTTGCAGATGTTGATTTGGGGGATGAGGGGGAGGAAGGCAAAGTGATTATGTCTCTTCCCCTCTTATGTTTTCTTCCAGCTTGCTGGAAAGATCTTTGCTGTGATATGGGGATCAGGCAGTCCCCATTGGTCAAGGGGTCTCTATTACATATGTGCTCTGAGAAGTTTCTGGTATGGCCCTTGGGAGAGTGGATTCCCTTTAATGGGTCATCAGCGTGTCTGGCTAGTCCTTTGTTGTAACTGAAAGGTTGGCTGTGGGCATCTTACCAACATAGTTCAGTAACAAATAGCAATGCTTCATAAGTTCATATATAATGTTAGCACATACAATCAAACAGGATACTAATGTTCAACAGATAAAGACTTTCAAAATGATACCTCACAAAGCATAATTTGTACAAAACATATCATTATAGGACAATGGTGAATATGGGGGTTCCAGGGTGCTACTTTAAGGTACAGAGCGTCATAAGATGCCCTCAGTACCCATTTCTGTCTATCACCCATGAATGCTGCAGTTAACTATCTGCTGAATATGAAATTCCACACCTTCAGCATACAGTTATGCTGGTTTTTCTCCTAAACATTTTTTTGCATTTCTTTGTAAAATGGAAACTGCTGTACTTTACATACCAAATACCAACGAACAGCAGGCAAATGTTCTGAGGTGCAAAATAACTTCTCCTGGTTTTGTATAACAATGTAGGCTGCACCTAAACCTCAGGTAAGTAGCCACCCATTTTTTCTTATCCTATGTGAAATCCTAGCTTCAAGGCTGGAGAAGAAATAGATCCTCAAACTGCACACCAATTTAAGACTTACAAATGTTTTAATGTCTTAAAAATACTAGAAATATTTCTTGAGTTGCTTTAACAGAGTTTTCCAACATTGTACTGGATAGCTTTGGAATGTACATAATTCTTGTGTTTCTGGCTTTTCCTCCACCTCTCCAAGTTTCATTCAAAAAACATTTTGATTTCATTTTTTCCCTATAATAAAATGACAATTATGGTTAAAGTATAGAATAGCCATTCTGTAAGCACTCTGCACTGGCCAGCATGTATGGTTTTCATAGCTCACTCATTTGATAGTGATCTGAGTATTAATTGTCTAAATTCTATAAAGGTAAGCAGAACTGTCCACTAATAAGAATTAAGACTTTTCTAATTTATGCATTATTATGCAGTTTGAACTGTGCTATTTCTAAATATATATTTTTTTTCACAATTTCAGAGAATAATGCATAAATCTATTTATAATTTTCAGGAAATACTGTATATTTTAGTGTTGCTTAAAAGCCACGTTGACAAGTAACTGCATTCTCAGTTTTTATTCTTGACTCAGCACTGCAGCAAGCCTGTTCAAATCAAATATACAGTGCCCTGCAGGAAAGGAATATCATTTTCAACAGGACCTCAGTATCAGTCAATGGAATTTACCCTCCAGCACAAAAAGAACATTAAGGTTCCATGAACGTAGAAGGAGCATATTAAAAATGATCTTTTTTTGTCTTTAGGGTATAGAACAAATTGGAAACAATTTTAGAGAGGAAAAATAACACATCAATTAATGTTTAAATCACACACACAGATGGCTTAACTACCCAAAATAGAGTTGTGATGACTGCAGTTAAATTATTTAATTTAGAGAAACAGTTCCTTTAAGAGATCATGGGTTGCCCTGAAACTCAAATCTAGAGTTGAAATTTATTTCTCAGTTTTCCATGTTGTGCTTAGGCAATACAGTGCATAATGCATATGCAATATTTACTTGTTGTTCTGAGGCTGCCTGATATCATCTATACATAATGGAGTGAGTGAACAGTGAAGTTTCAGTACTCTACCCTTTCATGTGGTGTCTCCTTCACCCACACACTTAAAGAGTTAATTTTGGGGAAAATCCTTCACAAAAGTCAGAACTGAAATTATTTTTTAAATGCTCTTATAGTAAAGGTGTCATTTAAATTTGTAAACACACCAGCAATGAGCAAGCTGCAGCTGGCATGGGTATGTCTACAATGCAGTTGGGCTCCAACCCAGGCTGACTAACTTGTGCTAGCACTAAAAATAGGCATGTGGACAGTGCAGTTTGGGATCTCAAGCCTAGGGAGCTGGGTGGGCTTGAGAACCCAACCTGTGACATCCACAGTGCTATTTTTAATGTGCTAGCTCAATCCCCAATAGCGTGAGTCTGTTAACCCAGGCTTGGAGGTTATCTCCCAGCTGCAGGGTAAACATGCCCCATATCTCTCCAGAGCCACAGTAATTCTGCTTTTCTGAAGGGCACGTGTTATTTTAAAAAGCAAAAGAATGCTGAAAAATGTTCTAAGAGGACATTGTGGTATCCATTCACCCACTCAGACTTTGACTAGTGCTTCTCACACTGGAGTGGAAGGAAAGGAGGAGTGAGATGGCTGGGAAAGGGAGCTGTCCCCTAGGCGGGCACAGAACTATTTCCTGAGCTGCAGAGGTTGCAACATTACAATGTCAGATGCATGTGATCACCAGTATCACATAGTCCTCAGCACTGATGGTGACAAAAAAAGGGAAACTGACCTTGAAGGTCTGGCTCTTTTGTTCTCAAGTAACACAAGGAAAGAGGTTAGGAGAGCACCAGAAGCTATAGCTGATGCAAACTGCAGGCGACAGAAGTTAGCAGCTCCCTTTTAACAACTGACCTACCCATCTGAATTCTCCTCAAAATCTTGTGGTTGAGCTACCATCTGTGGGAGCAGCACAAGTTGGAGACTGCTCAGACAGTTGCTGACCTACAGCTTTTCACTCTTTCAAAGAGCAATAAATGGCCCAAGGCCACCACCACTACGTGCAGAGATCCTAGAAGAGAGGAAAAAGATGGCAGAAAGGAAAACCGCTACAGGAGTGACAGAGAAATGGAGAAAACCAGCAAGAGATGGGAAGTTAGCAGAAGGCCAAACCAAACACACCTGACATATTAAGGTGCTTGTCACAACTCCATAGTTAAGGCTGAGTTGAGTTTTGCACTTAAAGCAGGTAGCCAACCTCAGTTATGTATAAAGAATACAGAGTATCCACCTCAAATATAGAGCACTATGGAGTACAGAATAAATTCCCTAAGACTTAAAATGCACATATACATAGTGAGACAATCCTTGCATTGAGGCATTTACAGCCTAAACAGTAACCTTAACTTTTTTTTAAACAAAGTTTGGTTTGGGGATATAGTAAGTGATATGTTGGTTTAGTCTTTTAAACCAGTTAAACATTTTATTTTCCCTGTTATTCAATGCAACTCCCCCTTCTTCACCCTCAAAAGGGCAAAACAACTTGATTTTAGTTCCTTTTCAGTCTTGATTTTAATACTGTAATTAGCAAGTATTATGAATTTTTAGTCTCATGAAACAATAATAGCAGTAATTATGGCAAGGTATACTCTGAACAAGCAGCACACTAGCTTCCCGCCAAAGATATGTCAACACATCAGTCTTGAGCTACACACCACTCTTTTATCCTTATCCAGATGCTGCTAAGAGAGTAAAGTAGCTAACCTGTGTGGTGCTTGTGGCTTTAGGAAAAAATCTGGAAGGAGATGACCTGGTCCAGAGAACACCTTAGATGAAAACCTAGAATGTGGCCAAAGAGACACTTTTCTTGAAGGCAAATGTAAAAGTTTTCTATTCAACTTTATTAGAAATAAAAACTCAGAAAAAGTTAAGTATCAGAGGGGTAGCCATGTTAGTCTGTATCCACAAAAACAACAAGGAGTCTGGTGGCACCTTAAAGACTAACAGATTTATTTTGGCATAAGCTTTTGTGAGTTAAAAAACACTTCTTCAGATGCATGGAGTGAAAATTACAGATAAAAGCATAAATATACTGGCACAGGAAGAGAAGTGAGTTACCTTATCACTGGTTCTCCACTTGTAAGGTAACTCCCTTCTCTTCATGTGCCAGTGTATTTATGCTTTTATCTGCAGCGTTCACTCCATGCATCTGAAGTAGTTTTTTTTACCCACGAAAGCTTATGCCCAAATAACTCTTAGTCTTTAAGGTGCCACCGGACTCCTCATTTTTTCAAAAAAAAGTTACTCCATTCAGACACGCATTTCTGACATGGTACAAATTTGTGGTATACTCTATAACTGAATGTTTACTATATTAATCCCAAAACACTCTTTTAGTTATGGTATGAGCCATGATCCTGTATCTTTAAACTGAAAGTCTACTAGATATGACCCACCTCACTTCTGTGCAGAAATCCTTGGAACACAAACATCCTTTGCCATTTCTATCCCAGGCAAACACAGTGAGGAATAAGAAACTAAACAGATTATGTGGTCATATCTAGAGGCAGGCAGTCCCTTGTTTAGAAAAAGGAAAATGTTCATTTTCAACTAGAACATGCAACACTGTTTAAAATTGCTTATTACAGCAGAGTTCTTCAATACTACAGTAAAAGCTCTGTTATCCGGCCCTACTCCAACCGGAAAGCTCTATAAACCAGCATTTGTAATCTTCACAGAAAGTCCGGTTTGTAGTCTGGTTGGTGCAGGGCTGGCAGGCTCCCTACCTGGCTTTGCGTGGTTCCTTGCAAGCAGAGACATGTCCCTGCTGCTCCTAGGTGGAGGAACAGCCATGAGGGGTTCGGAGTGCAGGAGGGGGTGCAGGGTTGGGGTGTGGGCTGTGGGAGGGAGTATGGGTATGCTAGGGGCCCTGGGGCAGGGCACGGGAGGGGTTTCGGGGTGCCAGGTCCAGGGGACAGGGGTGGCTTCCTTCTTGCTTTGATGTGGCTTTAGGAAAAAATCTGGAAGGAGATGACTGGTCCAGAGACCACCTTAGATGAAAACCTAGAATGTGGCCAAAGAGACACTTTTCTTGAAGGGGTGCCTTGTGCCCAACTGCAGCGGAGGGCGGGCAGTTTTCCGTGTGCTCACGGGGGTGTTCCACGTTGGAGGTTCCTGTGCGAGTGGTGGGCAACCGAAACTTTCAGGGGTGGAGGGTATCCTACTTGGCTTGTGGTCGGCGGTTTAAACCGTTCAGGGCGGGGGGAGGCAAGGGCGTTGCTGGTTACCAAGGTAAATTCTTCCCCGCAGGTTTCTTTGCCCAGTGTTTAATAAACCACCTGGCGGACCCAAGGGCCAAGCCGAGGGAGTTCGGGGTGGTAACCAACGGTCTGAGTAGAGGGAAGGGTTGCAACCCAGGCGAGCGGGATCGGTGGGAAACAACGTCTTGGACGTTGGAGCAACTGTGCTCTCTGTCTTGCTTACCTTTTTTATTATTATTATTATTTTTATTAAAACACTTTTAGAATCAAAAAGTTTGTTTTGGTATATGTGTAGATAGGCCTGTCCAAGGCACAAGAAAGGTTGCCACCGATGCGCCCGAGGCGGTTTTTGCCTCCTGTTGACAGGGTGGTAAAGGTGCTTCTGGAAACCAGGTTAGGCTCCGGAGGATGAAATCGCCCCTCTTCTGGTAGAAGTCGCTCATTAGTCAGCCTGTGTTTCAATTCTGGAAGATAAGGCTGAAATGAAACTTGGCCCAATCCAAAGCTTTATCCTTCCACACAAAAAAGGCCCCCTCAAGTTTATGCAGAACGCCGTCATGTGTTGACGTTGCCTTGATACAGGAGGGGCGGCCAGGGGGAGGGAGCGCAAGGGACGAGGGTCGGGCGAGAAGTGCAAAGGGGGGTGGAGGGTCACATGGGGCACCACCCAAAACCGGAGGAGGCACAAATTTGAAAAAGTTTGGAGAGCAGCTAGCAGGAAGAGTGAAGGCAACGGCGAGGGCAAAATTCAGGTGTTGGGCCTAGAAGTTGAAGCCACCGACACAGCCACTGAATCAGGGGCACCTGTGTCAGAGAAACCCTATATAAACTATCTGCTGAATTAGAGTGAAAGTGGACTTTTCTAGGTGAGCTGACGTTCCAGAAAAAGGGAAGAGCAGAGAACACAAATCACACTAGGGAACAGACAACCAGCTCTGACAGTCTAGGGATCTAGGAGATACCAAGGAAAGTTATAGTCATGGTGACCTAGCAGATTCTTATAGAGACAGTCTTTCGGTATCCATTAAGAAGAGACTCCATCTTATTTCAGACAAACAAGTCTCTAGAGAATCAAAACTCCTGTGGTAACAGGTGGATCTGTGCTGAAACCACACGAGGCTCCTCAGTGGACAGCAGTAGGATACTGTCGAGCTGATCTAGCAGTCTGTGATGCCTGCAAGATACCAGAGGTAACTCTGGCAGAAGACCTGCAGGTAGTACTGACTACCTGCCAGTGTGATCATGCACAGTAGGTACCATGGCTAGCTTTGGTACGGAGGCATGCTTGGTACCATGAGTCTTAGAATACTTTTAAGTCTTGAATGATGAGATCCCAGTAGCAGAGAAACCTGGAGTTTCAGTGGTACCCCTTCTGGGACATCAGGTCTCCAAAACAGTCTGAGGAGAGGGGCATTTTGGAAGCAGATTCTCTCTGAGGACATCAGGTACTCTTCTTCTTAGAAACCCTGCTGGTCTCCTCCAAGTTCTTGTCCCACAAAGATCTTGTGGGTGAGCAGGGTATGGAAGTCGACGGGACCGCATGTTTGCTCGGAGGCCATTGTGCAGGGGGATATCTGGTTCTGGATCCAAGGCAGGTTGAAGGAAGCTCTGCAACATAAGTAGCCTAAGCTTAACCTCCCTATTTTTTCTGGCTCTGTTCTTGAATTCCAAATAGATCTTGCATTTAGATGGCATATGCGCATCTCCCAAACAGTGAATGCAACAGTATTGCCCATCGCTGCCTGTGATAGATTCCTGGCAAGCGAGGCAGCTTTGAATCCCAGGGATCCAAGCATACCCTAAGAAAAAGACTCTTGGGGAGAAAGCCCCGCAAAAAAGAACGGGTAAGGGAAGAAAGGTCTGTTTAATAAACTGAAGAATTCTAAAAGTAAAACTAAACTAGCTAAACTAAAACTAGACCTAAGTTTAAGGCTAAAACTGAAGCAAGTTATTCCTAGAAGTGGGCATGCAAGATACTCCATCTCAGGCCACAGGTGACTGAGAAGGAACTGGGAGTGGATCACCCATGCAACTCTATATAACCTCAGTACAGAGCAGGAGAAGATCAGGAGTCCATGAGCGAGCCACACAGGCACTACTACCAAAAGAAATCTCTCCTCAGAGATGCACAGGATGCATGTGCGCCTAGGAAGTGGAGCACCCACAATGGGACATTACTTGAAGTAGTTTGGTTTCAGGTGCCTTTATTCCTTAATTGTAATTATTTTATTTGGTTCACAACATTGTTGATATTCATAAAAATGAGTGCAATAAAAAGGTAAACAGATGAACTAAGCCAAGACTATCATTCTCCAAAATTCATCAAAATATTTTATTAAAGCTAATATGAAAAAAAAATTATAGTACACAGGTTAAGAAAAGAGTGCCTGTACATCTGCGTATAGTGCTTAGATTATCAACAAAGACAAAGTTTGTTTTAAAAGTCATAAGATACATAGAGTGCATAATCAGCAATAACCCAAATTTAGGTGAATACATTTAAAAATACAGTTAGATATTAGCATCCAAGCATTCGGGTATATCACTCATGAAAAGTTGTACAGAGAGCTAGCTGTGGAAAGCAAAATATAAGATTGTCCCTCAGTAGTTGAGAATTGAGGGTAGGTTGGTCCATCAAGGTGGATAATTTTTTTTTTTAAATCAAATGGATTTTTTTAATTTCATTTGGATTTTTTTGATAAAATGCTTTTTGAGGGAAAAACTATCATTTTCTATCTTTTCAGACTTATCTGCCAATGATAGTGTTTTAGTCAAATGTATGTCACATAGCCACAGTATATCAGCAAAAAGAAAAAAATCTCCATCATCAAGAAACAACCATAGATAAGTTTGTGATAAGAACCAGCAAATTACAAAAAGAGGTAACTGATGAAAATATAGCCCCGTTTGTTTATGCAACAAACTCTCCTTTCTGTATGACTGAGAACCCACACTTTATTAACGTGGTTCAGTCATTAAGACCAGGATACAGGCCCCCCCCAGAGCAGATGTCGCAGGCAAATTCCTGGATAAAGTGTATGAAAGAGAAATTGAGCAGTGTGCAAAAGGTTTAGAGGGTAAAATTGTTAACCTGAGTCTTGATGGGTGGAGCGATGTCCACAATGATCCTGTTGTATGTGCTTGTGTGACAACAGAAGAAGGGAATGTCTTCTTTACAGAAACAATCGATACATCAGGAAATGCTCACACAGCAGCATACCTACAAGTAGCAGTAAAAGCTATAACAACCTGTGAAAAAAATGTCTAGTATGCAGCTTGGTCACAGACAATGCTGCAAATGTATCTTAAATAATTTGTTCTTATCTTGAAGAGAGTCCCAAGCTAATAACATAAGGTTGCAGTGCTCATTTGATGCACCTCCTAGCCAAAGACTTCAGTGTTCCAGAAATAAAGGCTAATGTTGTTGAAATTGCAAAATAGTTCCATAACAACCACTTTGCAGCAGCTGCTCTGAAAAAGAAACAAACCAAATG